ATCCAGGGATTAGGATTTTACTTAAGGGTAGAATTTTACTGGGTATGATGGTAGCAACTAGAAGATTCTGAGTGGGAGAGTAATATGACTTCTGTTATTTAACAGTATCTCTTTGGCTGCTTCAGTAGAAAGGGCAGGATACCTGAAAAGACTGGAAGGTTAGCAAATTTTCAGGTGGTATGGTGCTAGAAATCAGGAGTTCCCTTTGAGCATGTTGCATGTGAGATACAGGAAGAGATGTTAACTGTCAGTAGGATGATGCATGAGCCTGGACAAGGAATGAGAATTGAGTCATCAACACAGATTGCTTTACTGTCATCAGGCTGGGACACATCACTCAGGGAGTGTATTAGTTTCCTAGGGCCATCACAACAAATTGCCATAAATTTGGTGCCTTAAAACAACAGAAACGATTATTTCTTACAGTCTGAGACTAGAAATCCTAGATTTGGCAAGGTCCAAGGGTAGAACCCATCTTTGTCTCTTCATCAATTCAAGCTTTTCTTCTGTTGTTACATTATCCCTCCTCTTCTGTCTGTTGTGCCTCTCTGCCACTCTTTATAAGGATACTTGTCATTGCATTTAGGGCCCACCTGGGTATTCCTGGATAAGCATCTTTTCTCAAAATCTTTAAATTCATCCCATTTTTCCCATATAAGGTAATAGTTACTCTTTGATCATATAAGGTAATATTCACAGTTCCTGGAATTAAAAGAGTTTACCATTTAGTCATCTATAAGCAGTCAGTGTGAATGGAAAAGAAAAGTAGCCCAAGACTGTACTTTGGGTCATGCCAGTGTTCAGACGGAGGGTGAGACCATCCAGACAGTAAGGAAATAGAGGGAGGTCAGTGGGATATGGGGAGGAGGACAGTCAGACTCTAATGCTGGAGAGGCACATGCTTCAATAAGGAGATGCTTAGCTGTGTGGAAAGCTGCCAAGGGATTCTGAACCCAAAGACCAACATTCATTGCTAAACTTGGTGAGATGGGGGTTGTTGGTGAACTGGCAAAATTGCATTCAGAGAGTGGCATGTTGTATCCACTGTGTTCCTCAATGTTGAATCCAACTTCTACTGGAATATGACAGCCCTGTGTTATCTGTTGGGTTAGTGGCCAGCCAAGTGCTTAAAATACAAGAAGTTGTTTCATGATTTCTTTTCTATTTGAAGTTCTATGGATGAATGTGCATGTCAATAATTTTGTTTCTTCAAAATTAAGTAATCTGATAGCTTAGGACTCGGCAAAGAGTCCTGCTGCCAACAAAATGTCACTCTAAGACTTTGGATTGGGTCTGGCTGATGTGAATGACTGAGACCCTCCACAAGGCTGACCAACAATGCTGACAAGGAGACCTTCTCAGGCAGAGGTGGTGTTGTCCTAAGGACATGCACACCAGTCCTTTCTGACAGCTGCTAATAATTGAGTAACCTGGAGTTCCCAAAGACAACAATAGATCTCCTAAAACCATATGGTAGTCTCAATAACATTGGCTGGATTGGAAGAAAAATACAATGAACTGAATTCTAAAATTCATTCTCAACCTTTTCATAGCATATATGAACAAATGTTTTGGCTTGTGTAAAAACAAATTTCTTATTTCTGCTTTAAAATTCTGCTTTTTCATTCAAAAAGCATGAACACATGTATCAGGGACAGTGTTCTCATGGCCATGTAAAGCATCTGTATTCCTCCTTATCTAGATGTTAACATGTGAAAAGTGGCAGAAAATTATTTAAATGTAAGAAAGCTAAAGATGGAATCAGACCAATCTTAATATCATAGTGATATTTTGCATCTTTATAGTGTCTCCATTAAACTGGTGAGCAATCACACTCAAGGAGAACAGTTCTGAACCAGAATAAGCTTAAAGTAAAATCATCAGCTTCATCTTAACCTAAAACAGGAAATTGAGAGAGAAAGCTGTGGAACTCAGGATGGCATTGAGAGTGCTGGGATTGGCTCTATAAGTAGATTCAGGGGCAAAATCCTCCTGTCAACTTAAGTCCCCTGTTTGTACCAGGAGGTTGTACTAACAGAGTTTGACCAGGTTCTTCTGGTTTTGATTTAAGTAGCTATCTCTGCAGAAAGGGCCCTCTGAGCATCTTTACCAATTAAGATTTCCTCTTAAGGCTTTGTCAAAGCTATTTGCATTTTCTATTATTCAGGTTGCCCAACTTTACACATCAGTCAGCAGATATTGGACAGTGTAAGCACCATAAAGATTCCAGATTAATTCGAGGCATTGAAGACCTAGTATTAGTAGGTGAAATATGTTGTTAGAGAACAGAAGGTTAATGTATCTAGGGCGTTGGGTAAAAACAGGGAGGAATACATTCTTATTTTATAATTTTGAAACTCAGAATGTGAACTGCCAACATAAATTGAAATCTGTACTTTTATCCCATGTTTGATTCCTTATAGTTTGCTCTGCCAAAAGTCCAGATGAGATAAAAGTTCTTGAAAGTGAAAATAAGGAAACTTGGTTTTACATAAGCCAAAGCACTTGTTTACATATGCTATTAAAGGCCGAGAATGACTTTTATAATGTAATTAATTGTAGTTTTTTTCCAATCAAGTGAAAGTTATTGAGACTCCAATATAGTTTTAGAAGATGCATTTGTTTTGGGGAACTTGAGCCTATTTTATTATTAATAGCTGTCAGAACACAAGAGACCAGATGTATTTGAAGGTTAGTTTTTTTTTGTAGTGAGGAAATTTGTGGATTTTCTGGTTCAGCCAATCTGACAAAAAAATAGCTCACATAGGATAAATTTTGCCAGAGAATGTAAGATGGATGAGAGTGAAGATAAATTTTAAAAACTATCTCATCAGTTGAAAAAAATAGACAATGAATGAAAGCAAATAAATATATTGCAATTATTAGGATTTTCATTCAGGCCTAGAGAGTCTCAACCTAAGCACTATTGACATTGTGGGCCCTATAACTTTTTGTTGTGGGGAGTCTGTCCTGTACATTGTAGGATGTTTAGCAGCATCTCTGGCTTCAACCCACTACATGCCAGTAGAACCTCGTCCCCCATTGTGACAACCAAAAAGTTCTCTGGTCTTTGCCAAATGTATTCTTGGTGGCAGACTTCTCCTAGCTTTGAACCTTTGAGTTATGCTGCACAAATGCCCCCAAAGTCATATTCCAGATATTTGCTCAGGATAGAATGAGATGAGGGGACAGGCTTATTGAGACCTTCGCTGCTGGACATGTTTTGGGGATGGAGTTCACTTGGGAAGCACTGTAATTATGGTGTGGCTTCTGGATGTACATTGTACTGCTGAAAAATAGATTCTCTTAAAATCTAAAGTTCAATGAGCATATTAGGAATACTAAAAATACAGGTGATATAGGTGATCTTTTGAATTTGTCTGCCTCCACAAAACCTTGCAACAATGTGGAGGTCTGCCACAATTGTCTCCAAGACTAAGTGTAGTAGTTGGTATTGGGGAGACTATTATGAGTATAACTTTGCATTTGCTTAATTTTACAAGTAGCAGCTACTTGAAGACCTACACAATCTTATATGCTTATCTTCGTGTATTATAAACGAATGGTGCTTGTGTCAGAGACTATTTCCATTCATCAAATATCCTGATGTTTCTCTGCATTTCCTAGTCACCCTTGCAGTCAAGCTGGGGCCATGCAACTAGTTTTCTCCAGTGAAATGTGAATTGACTTGACTTTGAAGCCGAGGAAGTAACAGGCCAGAGTGCCTAGTCTATCTTCCCCCCACATCAAAGTGACTTGGGGGGTCCTGCCATGACCCAAAGAGAGAGCTGTTCCATGATTTCATTTTCTCTGTTCTCTTTTTCTGGAACAACTGCTAGTTGGATGTTGGACTTTCGGAGATCATCTGCTTGATTTTCTTTTATTTCCAAGAATCATCTCTTCATCTACTTTTCTGCTTTCTGGAAACCAGTTGGAATTTGACCACACAGAAAAGGAGGTTCAGCTAAGCCTTGAGGGTTCAAGCATCACTACTGGTTGCCTTTCTTTATGGTAATGATATTATACTCAAAAAGCCACATGCTGTGACATGAACAGTTATTTGAAATGGTGTCACACATTTCCTAGTACATTCTGCTTTGAAGGAAAGTAAAAAAAAAAAAAGATCACAGGGGTGCATTTTTTCCAGTAAATAAAAGATGAAATGACAAGACTCAAGATTTGGAGAGAGAGAGAGAGAGAGAGAGAGAGAGAGAGAGCGCACGTGTGCAGTTTCAGGCATCCACCAGGGGGTCTTGATGGGGGAGTACTATATGTGTATTCCTACACGGTTAGCATAAATCAGTTAAGTGCTTTCATAATTCCACCTGTTTCATCCTTTTTACTGGTCATATGCCTGCTGCTAACGTAAGTGGTGCTTACAAGGTAAGAAAGAAATGCCTTTCCTCTGGGCAGTGCCAGCTTCATGTCAGTGCACCCGTTTGGTGAGCAGTGTGCTGGCTTTTATGCACAGAAGGAAACCCGGCCTGGGAGACCCAAAGCTCACCCTCCAGAGTGAACTTGGTCAACCCTATTGGTTTCCCAGCAGTGCCGCCACTCTGCCTTGGTTTTTTTGGCCTCTTGCCATTCTCAGGTTGAGCCCATCATGTGAAGGCCTAGGAGGGAGAGGGAACCAACTAGTACGTTGTCTAGTCCTGACAGCCACGTGGATATTTTTAAGCCTTTGCAATTGGATGAGATCGCTTAGCTATGATGAAAGAAATAAGAGGACAAAGGAATCCAGACCTCAGACTTTGCGAGTCACTTGAACATGTGGGGATAGGCATAGGGGAAGGAAAGAGAATTTACTAAGGGAGGAAAAAGAAAGTGTAGAGACAGAGTCGTGAGAGGAAGGAGGAGAAGAGAGAGAAACAATCAAAGCCCGTGCTTTCTGAATAGCTGAGGTGGTTATGTGATTGTCCAAATCATTATCATAATTCACAAACCACTGAAAGTAATGCCAGTATTTCTGCCGTCTCACAGATCCATCTCCTATGTCATAGGTAAAAGCCTCCGATGCAGATGCAGGAGCCTATGGCTTTGTTCAGTATTCTCTTTATGACGGATTCCAAAGCGATGAAGCCCCTCCAGCATTCCGGATCGACCCACACGATGGGCAAATCTGTGTGTCTCAAGATATTGACAGGGAAAGGGATCCTGCCACCTTTGATCTCCTGGTGAAAGCGAAGGATGGGGTAAGTCTTTGTGTATGAAATTTCAAACATTCTCAAAAGTGAACCATGAAGTGTACTTTGTAGAGAGTCAATTATAAATAATTGGCTTCCCAAATTTCATATACCCATCACCTCTTTCCTTTGCCTGAGTTTTTTTTTAAAGCAAATACCTGGCATTATATCATTTTACTCATTAATAATTAGATAATATCTCTAACAGATAGTGGCTTTTAAAAACTATAACTACAATACTTCAGCAGTATATTATTCTTTGATAAAATCTAATATGGATTCCATGTTAAATTTTCTGGATTATCTAAGCATATATTTTAATAACTGGTTTATCTGAATCCATATCCAAGTAAGTCCCTGAATTTTTATTTTTGGCATGCAAGTGGTGTATTAAATATACTTATCACATATGTTTTTTTTTTCTTTCCATAGCTTGTCATTTCTTGTCCTTAATGGTGTCTTTTGAGGGAAAATGTTTTTAATCATAAGAAAGCTCATTTTATCAATTTGTTTCCCTTTATAGCTAGTGTTTTTTTTGTGTGTGTCATTTTAGCAAGCAATTGCTAAACTTAGAGATATAGAGGTGTTCTCTAACATTCTTTTCTAGAACCTTCTCATTGTTTCACCTTTCAGATCTGTTTTTTCAGTCTAATGTTGGGAAGGTTTTTTTCATTATTTCTCCAGTATGGTATTCAATTAATCCAGAACTCTCGACTGAAACGACCTTTCTTCAATGTAATAGAGTCTCACTGTTGTGGAGAACCATGTGATTGTGTATGTGTGTCTCTCTGGACACTCTCTTTTTGAGCTATTTGTCTGACTTAGTGGTAGCAACAGATACTCCTAATCATTTGAATTCTCTAATACTTTGTACTATCATGTATTCTCTTAGCTTTATCTTTGGCTATCTCTGATAATTTGCATCTCCAAATACATTTTGGAAATATCTTGTTCAATTTCCAGTACATTACAGTAAAGGTAGACTAGTATGCACACTGACACTGGGATATTTTTCACTTACTGTATTTTAAAGGCTTTACTTGTTTCTTTTTTTTCCATCAGAATATCTTTTTTTTCGTGTACTTCAACTCAGATATCTTAGCAACACTGAATAAAATTTTTCCAATAAAATATTCTCCCTTTTTTCCCAAATATATTTCTTTTGATGTATTTGAAAGAAATGGTGCTTATCTCATTCATTATGTGAGTATGCACAGGAAGAGTAATTTGAGGGTAATCTGAGGCACCTGCTAGGTGCCATTCCATGGATCTGTTTGTTTTTTTTTAATTTGTTCTTTTTGGAAATACATGACAATAGAGTGTATTTTGACATATTACCCACACATGCATTATAACTTACTTGTTTCTTTTTTAAAATCTACTTATTATTCCTTTGTGTAGCTATATACTGCTAACACTTCTATGGGCTGATGTTTCTCATTTGAAATTAATAGGAGACTGTACCTACTTAAGACATGAGTCATTGGGAAAATAAGTCTAATTGTATGCATTACAAGTAAACATATAGAAGCTAATATGAAATAAACTAATTTATATTCAATAAGATATTTGTGTTCTATTTGATTAGATTGTTGTGAATACCTGCTATGTGGCTTCCGGAATCCTTGATCCTATGTAATAAATATGTAGGAAACAAAGGTAATAATAAACAGATGAGTTTAGATTAATGTAAGTCTCTGCAATTATTTAAAGCCCAATATATCCACACAGATATTAATATAAGACTTTAAAATGTATTCTTAATAGATCTGGGGACAATTATAAAAAGGCCCTCTAGAGATGAATAACCAGGTTAAATCAATACTGCAGGAGTCCAACACCTATTTCTAATTAGCTGGTTTCAGAAGATCTTGTAATGATGTGTAGAAGTGGTTATCTTTATACAAATTGCATCATTTGGTGCAGGAAGTATTTTTTTTTCTTTTTCCATAGTTCACTAATTAGGAGCACTGTAGCGGAATAAGAAAAAAAAATCAATGCAATCAATTTGAACTCCCTTGCTTACTTCCATTTCCATACTCTACAGACTTATCCCCTAAAGAATGGAGTCCCTGCTGTATCATCCAAGTGCTACTTTAACCACCCATCCCCCCCTAAAGTATCTCCAGACTGAACAAATGGGATACATTTTTCCCCAATCAAGAGGCACATTATTTTTAAAGATAATTATATTTAAAGATAATTTAAAGATAATTAAGAGAGATAACTTACTGTTAGGAGTTAGATGGGGTATCCCCCAAAAGTTTGCATTTTATGAGACAACACAGAAGGTTTGGAGGAGAAATGACCGGGTTATAGCCTTAACCTAATCAGTGAATTCAGCCCTGATAGGATTAACTGAGTGAGAAGTGGAGGCAGGTGGGGTGTGGCTAGAGGAAGTGGTTCATTGGGGGCATGGCTTTGAAGTATATATTTGTATCTGCCAAGTGGAGACCCCTCTCTCTGCTTCCTGATCACTATGTGAGCCACTTCCCTCCGCCACACTCTTCTGCAGTGATGTTCAGCTTCTCCTGGAGCCCCAGGGAATGGAGGCAGACTTCAATGGGCCGAGACCTCTGATACTGTGAGCCCTCAACTAGACTTTTCCTTCTCTACAATTGTTCTGGTGGGGTCTTTCAATTGCAGCAGTGAAAAACCTGAGTAAAACACTGTCTATGTGCAACTTTTGACAATTTTTAGAAATAAAAAATGAGACAATCTTTACATTGATGATGTTTGATGAGTCAGAATATTCAAACTTATAAAAACTCCTTGTTTTGTAAAAAGAAAACACTTCTAAAAAAAAAAGCACACAATATTTCTATTAGAATTGCAACACCCTCCCTATGGGTTCTTTATATTCAAATTCTCACTCTCCTTTTTCGGGTGATCTCATTTTTAGCCCAGTGCAGAACTTAGTTTCCAGAGAACTGCTCTGACCCTCCCTGTTTTAATGTAGGTTTTCATTATTATTTCCATATGGTAAGGACTATAGATCATGAGTAGCTGCCATTAAAAAAATAGTTAATACAAAGCCAAGAGGAAGGCATGCCACCCTTGTGTCACTATGCCACAAGGGTGATAGAGCTGTGCAGGTTGGGGGAACATGTGCATACAGTGAAATAACAAGTTGGCCAGGAGGCCTAAGGAGAGAAAGCATTGTGAACTAGAGCATTTACTGTGGTTTCCAGGGATGGGCAAGGCAGAATTAGCAGTTTTAGTATTGACTGGTTTGAATAGTTGCAGCACACTCTAGGACATAGAGACTGTACCAGTTGTCTAATACTTGATGCTAGGTTGATCAGGGCAGGTGGACAGTGGCGTGGCATATAAAAGCCTAATTGGGATATGGGTTCTGGATGTTTGTTTGCATTTGAACAGAGAGTTGTTCACTGTCCTAGGACTGGGCTAAGCCTGGGAAGGGCTGTCCTCCAGGGTCATCAAGGCCCCAGATGTCAAAGCATCCGAATATAGAAAATAGGAGATATGGTTAATGCACTACCCTGGGGGGTCTCCAGGAAGAGAAAGACTAAGGGCTCATCAGAACTCCTGGAATATTGGGGCTGTACAAGAGAAAATCTTTGCAGCTACCTCAGTTCAATACCAGCTTATTTTACATAACAGTGATATTGAGGCAATTCACCTTTTGTCCACGTGTAGCATCTTAAATCCTCAAAGGAAGTTTTTGTCTTGACACAGGCTACTTCCAACACTTTCTTCTCCTTTGCTGCACGTTGTCCCTGGCAAGCTTCACCAGCGCTGCTCAGTCCTGGGCAGACAGCCCATGGACTCATCAGCAGCTGCTTCACCCTCCTCACTGCTTCCCCATCCTCCTCCTTGGCTTCATCTTCATTTTCCATGGTTTACTTTATCTCCATTCTCTTCTGAGTTTGTCTCCTCTAGAAGATTTTTAGCTGCTGGTTCCATCTCCACCCAAGTCTGTCTTTCTTCAATCTTGTGGGACTCCAGGCATTAAAAGTCATTGAGAATCACCTGCTTCAAACATGCCCCCCAAACAGAAAGCAGCCCATATCCGAGACCAGAGTGGCTCTAATGCCACATTGGTTTTCTTCAGAACCATCTTCATCCTTCCAACTGGCCTAAGGCAAAGGACACTCATAAAATGGTGACTATGGCCCCATCTTCTATGACAACCACTTTGGCTATCTCTGTGGGCTCCTGTGTGATGACTTCCCCAAATTCCTTCTTGCTGTCTATCAGCCTTGTCCCCCACTTTTTTGCCTCTCCTGTTTTCTCTTCTCAGACCTAGGGTGCTTCAGCTTTTCAGCAAACCAGCAGTCTGTGTTATCATGGAAGTATAGCTCACTAATGAAGTCATCCTCCAGGTTATCTTTCTTATTACAGACACTCCCAAAGAGCAGTATCTGATGATTCATGTCTACAGCCCCCCCAAAGCCAGACATTGGAAAGGGCTGGCTTTACTCTTGGAGTAAACTCAATCCCAGTCTACACTCATTTGCCTTCTCCTTCCTCAGAGGAGTAACAGATAAATGCAGCATGATTGTCCATATCTTTATTGTTTCCAACAGCCTTTACAGATGTTGATGTTGCCCACAAGAGTGATAGACATATGGCAGCCCAGCCTGGGTGGAAACCCAGACCCTCAAGTGGACAGCTTGCTTTACAGAAATATGGTTAAAGGTATACATATCCCTTGTTATTTCATGGAAAAAGAATTAGCTGTTTCTTTTAATTCCATCTGAGTCCACTCTGACCTTATGGAAGGATATAATTTGCTCCCAGGTATTGGTGGCCACACATAGGACCCTGGGTTCCATGTAGTGGTAAAGCTTCTTTCCACTGGGAGAAGAAAACTGTCACCTTGAGACACCACCACTGCCTGGAAAGCACAGTGCCTTGACCTTTGGGTCAGGTATCTTTTCTGACATTACAAATACAGAGCTCATTACACAAACATGTATTTTGGTCACTGAAAAATTCACCTCTGCAAAGCATCAATTCATCATTGAGCATAAAAGGACACCTTG